GTGCTACACCCACATGCCTGCAAAGTGGAAACCAGAGGGGCACCTTGCAGCTACTTCTCATTCTGGGATGGAGAGTTATCTGATGACTCTGCTGCCAGTCTCCTCTTCGGGCTGCAGATGCAAGATGGCACTGGTATCCACCACAGGCTGCCTTCCAGAGTCTGCAGAGCGCTATGCTGTAGAGGGGTAGATTGGTGTAGGCATCAACAATCTAAACTATGTGTTCATTTAAAGCAGGTTTGTGCATCATTTCCATTGGCTGAAGCTCCTTGGGTGGGCTCCAGTGCCTTGCTGGCCTTGTGTAGACTTCTTCATATAGGACGTACGCTCTCTGAAGTGTCCCAATATTTCTCTTTGGCAAACATTGCAAGTTTTCTTTCACCATTGACCCCATTTATAGGGTACCCCGAGTTTCCCCTGAGCCACTCCGATAGGCTCTTTAAGAATTGGGTCTGGTGCGAGTGGATAGGTTCTTAACCGCAGGCCAGTGGAGAATCCTGTCAGTTGTAGATGATCTGGAGGCTCCACCTCTGGATTTGTGGAGACAACTGCAACTCCCCCATTTCCTTTGATATTTGCCTGAACTGGGTCTATTCAACAGGCCTTTGATTTTGTTCGAGGGGGTGTGTGGGAGGAGGTGCTGGTCGGGGTTCTCTTTCATACAAGCTATTGTTACATTCACATTCCCAGCAAGGTCTGCCTTTTTTGGTAAATTGGAACAGGACCTGGGTTCGGAGTTTACCGATAAGCAGAAGGAGAGAATCCTCTTTTTTGACAACAACGCTTCTATTTCCAGCAAATATGAAGAGATTACTTATAAAACGATGACTTGTTGGCATAGAACACCCATTATACGGACAAAAATCCTTCTTAGGCAGAGTGACCTTAGCTGGAGCTGCAATGCCCACCAGGATATCCTGCTGTGCATCTTTTGGGACTGTTCTGCGCTAACCTTTTTTTGGGATCCGACCATTCACATTGCCACTCGACTTAAGGGAATCTGCTTTGTTGACAATCCTGGGAGGGTACTTCTAAATTTGACTCCTCTGTCCAAGAGGAGATACAAACAATCCATATTCATTCATTTGCTGAATGCTGCACGAGCATGCATCACGACTTGCTGGAAAGTCTATCCCACCAACCGTTACTCATTGGTTTGCTAAGGTGTGTAATATTCGAGAAATGGAGAACACCTCCCTGCGGGTTTAAGAGACTGCACAGAGAAATGTGCTCTCACCAGGTTTTACGGCGATCACTTGCAGGACTGCTGAATATTGTGAATATCTTTGACCCCAGAAGAGGATACTGTTGGAACCATTACTTACTCTTAAATTGGGGTTGTGCTGTTTTTTTATTCTTTTCATTTCGTTCCCACCCTGGACGAGAGGGGACCCTATTGCTTCCTTTTGCTCCTCTTTTTCAAGTGCCTCCATTTACTTTTCTTGTTTAGGGTTTGTTGTTTAAATGAAATACAAATGGCTCCACTGTTCTCATAGTCCCTTTTATTTGTGTTGTTTCTAATTTCATGACTCATAGATGAGCTTTACTCTCTGTACCACAATCCAAGTGAATGACAACAGATACAGATTTAAAAGGAAGAGCAGTATAGAGAAGGAAAACTACCATGGATTACAGTAAGGCACACATTACACTATTGTTTTATGTTAAAAAATCTGAGGGTTTAATGTCACTTTAAGTGTAGATCAGGCGAAGACCTTCTTTGGGTTCCAGAACTGTAAACCGGTTTCAATGGAAAATTAGACATTTCTCTTAGAGGAACAAGAACGATAACTACCTGGTTCCGGGCATGGCAGAGCAAAGATAGATACCCAGATCAAGGACAAGTCAAGATCAAATTAGAAATGTGATCAGAGCAGTCAAGATTCCAGAGTATGAAGTAGGCAGGAACCGACAACGTCATTAACTGCTTTTAGAGGGTTAGCTGGAGTTCAGCTTTAATTGGTTTGTGTTTTACTTACATTGAAAATAACATACCCTGTCCGTAGGGTGACAACACTGCTGTGCGATTTCAATGAAAAACAAACAGCATTGCCACCATTTTAATACTCGGACAATATGCACTTATCCTTTTTGACCCCACACCAGATGCATACTTACTTCCATGTTACATCCTACTGTAATACTTATAACCTTTATTAAAATGCTCTCTGCTTCAGCCACACCTACTCAGTAGATTCCCCCAGATTTTAATGGGGGCGTCTCCCATCTCAGTATTTTTTTGTTAAAGCCAAGGTATGGCTATGGTACAGCAACCTGTCAAATCTACTTAGAAATTGTGGACCTTGAACCCAGAGAAACTCTTTTAGGACCTGCCTTAGGGCCGGTACACAACACAAAGAACATGTTCCAGAGCGTTCGGCCTCTGGAAAGCAAACCGGCAAGCTCCCTGCGTTCAGGGGCGGGGCGTTGAAGCTTATCTGCTGCCTTGGAAACCTTCCAAACTGCTCACTGTGGACTGTGCAGGATTCCCAGTCCAGTCCAGATTCAGTTCAGAATCACAGCCAGCACGGCCTCTTCAAAAGCCATGAAGGCTATTAATACACTTTGAGAGTACCATACACATTTGAAAATCCAGATATTACCTTGTAAAAGTAGCAATGACATATCTGTGCTGCACATGGTGCAAGTAAAGCCATGGAAGGCACCCAGCAGGCCCCAACCACTACAGACTGTCTGCAGAAAACTCCAGGGGGGCGGATACAAGACCAGTCACCCTGCTCAAGGAAAGTAGCAGCAGTAACCGGTTGTATTCCTGGAAATTCTTGCACAAGTACAGGAGTTGCTTCATGCTGGATTAGTGCACAGATATGGAAAATAATTACACAAATGATACCAAGATTCATGTAAGAAAACACTGGGATCTTGTAGTTGTTGTAAGTTAATGTCCGGCGTTGCCCTGCAAATAATGTGCAGCTTGTGAGCCAATGCAGACTCCCATCCAGCACAAAACATGCTAGTTGTGGATACAATGTTGCATCACAATAAAAAAGTGATGCAAAAGTTTAGTTTTGGATAGAATAAGGGAGGGGTTTAACACTCCTATGTGTGTCACGTGGGGAGATATCAAGTAGAATATGAAGAGACACCAGCACTCCAATAGTGAATCAAATACGTCTGTTTATTTGACGTACGAGTAGCATAGTGTGATATACTTGGCATTAGGTGTATCACACTATGCTACTCGTGCGTCAAACAGACAAATTTGATTCACTATTGGAGTGCCGGTGTCTTTATATTCTACTTGATATCTACCACGGTTGCCAGCACCCGACTACAGTAGCACCCACCCTTACTTCTTTTTGAAACGGCGGTTTCCGAGTGCAATGGGTTAATTGACTTTACTTGTGGGAGATTTCCCCCAACTTCCTGCCCGATGGCCACAAAAAGTGAGAGATCCAAACTGAAGGAAATCCCTGGTGTTTTGCAGTGTATTGGAAGAGCTCCCATCGATTCCTATTCTGGTGACATCACCGATCGAAAATCCCAAAGGACAAAGGAGAGGACAAACCTCCATGACAGCCACACAGCAGTAAAAAAAAAAAAACCTGCCATATGTTCTAATCCCTCTCTGCTTTATCCAAAACGGAAAAAAAAGGTTTTGGCTTTAAATTGCAAGTGTGTACAAGCCATGATTATGTAAAGCTCGGGAATCCTAAACTTTCAGGTTATGGAGACCCTGCACCATGATATGAAAAACCTCTACATATCCAACTTGTTTGCCTTTTTCTGGAACCTAAAATAAAAAAAAAAAAAAGTCTGTAGTGTGCCTTGCAGGAATTTATTTCCAGTTTACTCTTTATTTCTTTGTACTCCACCCATAGGAAAATGAATGCGCTACAGACAATCATTCATTATTTAGATAATACTTTATTAGTTCCTGTAATCAAATTGGATGATGTAAATAATATTTTCATACAATGAGTTTGCTTTTCCTCAACTGAACAGGCTTAGGATTGGCTGCAAATTCTGTACAATGCCAAAATGGAGGAATGGAGGTGCTATACAGCCCCCATAACTTGAAAAAAAATGACATCATAGCTAAAAAGAAAAAAATATATTTATATATTTATATTAAAAACGAAAAAAGAAAAAAAAGATACAACTAAACCGCAGCTGTCTGCACCTAACCTGTACAGCAAGTCAAAGAGATTATGAAAAGGACATGAAAATAAACGGTGGCTTTCATTTAACATAGGATATAGAGCAGATGCTTAAACACTAAATCGGGTATCAAAGCAATTCGTTTTTTCCCCCCGGATTTTACAAAACTACTGGCAATTGTTTTAAAGAACAAACTTAAAAGGGCAATGCCAAGACAATGTATTAAAGCAGAGGCTGTAGGAGGAGAGGAAGACGAGTACAGTGTGTACATTCATCTTCACGCCAAGTCCTAGACTGACTTTAAAGCAGATGACAGATATCTGTGACCTGACCCTCTCCATTAGGTGTGGGACCCTAATGAGACAATGGAGATATTTATGGCAACGAGGCCAAAGTTTAAAAGTTGCAGATTTGGGTAGTTACTCAGATATTGACTGCAGTAGGTTGGATTTACAGAGGCGAGAGTAAATGAATTGACACCCACTTCCCTCTTCTATTTCAATACAATACAATACAATACATGAGGATGCCCTTTAATAATTTACTTCTCGTAACAAATAGTTTTTTGTCATCCGTATTTGAATCGAACGTGCAGATTTTTCCTTTTTTCTTTTTATTATTTTCATTTGCATAACTTCACACATTGCAATTCTTCTTTAAAATGGAAAAAAAAAAAAAATCACCCTTTATTGGACAAAACGAGTGTTTAATTATAGGGTACAGTATAGAGTGATATTGTTGAAACATTTAAAAACAGCAGCAACGATGGCAATGGTTCAATTTGCTTTAGCATAGCACTGTTTCAGCAGCTAAGTCACTTACTATGAAATTAAATAGAGGACTGCTTTGTGTTCCTGTTTAAGCCCAGAATGCCTCGGGTTTTAGACAAAACTTAGTATGAGCTCAGATATTTAAAGTCCAACGTTTCTCTTGCAACCTGTAACTCCGACCGCTTCAGCCTAGTCTGAGGAATCTTATTATTACTCCTAGAAGATATCTTGGGAGAATGGGTAGGAAATCTAGAGCCTGACTTTCATATGCCCTGGAAAACCCAGCAGGAGAGAGACAAATACAACAGTGTAACCCGAAACAAGACCAGAAAGCGTGTTTGGGTATACAAATACTAGATTGCACTTGAACTCGCTCTGGTTCGGCACACTTAGAGTAGCTTTCTTTATAGGGTAGTGTATCTTACTAACCATTCCGTGTCAGCCTCTATGGGTGGTAATACAGTCCTCTTACATAGACATTTGTGATTTCCAGCATACAGGCCACACTGTCTAAAACAACCACGACACACCGAGTAGAAACTAGAAAGAAACAAAAACCGTCTGCACAAAGTATCTTCTACCTTTCACATCTTGAAATGCTGAGTGTAGCCACTGAAGACCCTGTCCTGTTCACACAATTGCTAACTATGCTCTGCTAAATCCACTTCCTACTTTTAGATCAGCTGCTGTATCTTTTAGGTAAACATAAAAAAAAACAAAAAAAAACTCATATTGATACACCCCAGAGTAGTGCTCAGAACTTCCCAGCTATCTCTAGGACTTTGTGTCTTCCGTTTTGATGGCTTGAGGTTTTATTGGTCCAGTTCTGATCGGTTTGGTAGAGGTCAGCACAGCAGCCGAAGGCAAGGCAGCAACGGCAGCTTGGTTCTCTTCTACCTTTTCTTGGGAGACCAAGGAGGGTTCTGGTATAGAGTCTGAAGGCTTGCTGGCACCTGGGGTGGTTTTCGGAGGCTTGGGGATCACCGGTTTGCTTTGCTGATGCTGCTGTTGCTGCTCGAAGAATCTGTGTGTAGACTGTAAAACCTCTGCTCTCTGTTTTGCCTTAAGGGTAAGCAAAAGAAAAGGGAAAAGATGTGTCCCATAAATTAGGATGTGCCAAGGTTCTTACAAATTTGTCTTTGCATCACAATACCCTATATTTTATTCTGCAAGTCTGAAAATGAAATTGTGTTTTCCACATACTCCGAACTTTTCGGACTGAAAGCAATGCTAAAATAAATAAATTAAAAAAGCAAAGATCCCACTGGTAGAGCACATCTATAGCAAAATAGCCATGGCAAGGCTTCATACCAGTCAATTTTCCTAATAAAGAAAACATTTTAGGGGTTAATAGACTTATGTAATAAAGCAATGTGATGAGCAAGTGTAGGAAAAATGCACCAAAAAACACAGCGTTCAGGTTCCCAAAGCAATAATTGGCAAAAGTATTGCATACAGCTATTGGTTATACGCTGCCCTTTGAATAATTAAACCCTGGATACAAACATTATGCTAAAAACATTCCTTTATTCAGTAAGAATCTACAACGTTAATATTTTATATCATTGCTTCTACATAAACAGTATGGTAAAGCAGCACTGCAGAATGTGGACTGCATGATTGAATAAATTCCCATGGAGGTTCCATACCGATATCTGACCTGTAGACTAATGAGACAGTTCCACCTTGTGGAAAATTATGGAACACGCAGATCTTAAACAAAAAAAAACACAACACAGTTTTATATAATATTAAGTAAAAATCCACAACTTATGCCGACCTTCAGATCCTGCTCTGCCTTTATTGCAGCATTGATTCGCACCCCAGAAGGTGGAACAGGAGGTGCTCGGGACACATGATGAAGACGTGGATGGTTCATCAGCCCTGTGGGCATCTGTGGGGGCATCTGGTTGGCGAGTGCCATCGGTGGGCGTTGAACTTGTGGTTGGAAAGAATTTGGATGGGGTCCTCTGACCAGTGGAGGCACCAGATTAGGCTGGGACAGCATCTGCAGAAGGAAA